CGCCTCCCCGTCCTGGGCGTGCGCGGAGGAGGACGTGGGCGCATCCCCCCCCCTCCTCTCTCTTCTTCCTCCTCCTCCTCCTCCTCCTCCTCCTCCTCCTCCTCCTCCTCCTCCTCGTTCTCCTCCTCGTTCTCCTCCTCGTTCTCCTCCTCCTCCTCCTCCTCCTCCTCCTCGTCCCTCTCCTCCTCCTCCTCCTCCTCCTCCTCCTCCTCCTCTCCTCCTCCTCCTCCTCCTCACTCCTCCTCCTCCTCCTCCTCCTCCCCCCCCCTCATGCTCTCCTCGTCTCTCCTCCTCCTCCTCCTCCTCTCCTCCTCCTCCTCCTACTCTCCTCCTCCTCCTCCTCCTCCTCCTCCTCCTCCTCCTCCTCCTACCCCTCCCCCTCTCCTTCCTCCTCTCCTCCTCCTCCTCCTCCCCTCCTTCCTCCTCCTCCCCTCCTCCTCCTCCTCCTCCTCCTTCCCCTCCCCTCCTCCTCCTCCTCCTCCTCCTCCTCCTCCTCCTCCTCCTCCTCCTCCCCTCCTCCTCCTCCGCCTCCTCCTCCCCCCCCCTCTCCTCCTCCTCCTCCTCCTCCTCCTCCTCCTCCTCCTCTTCCTCCTCCTCCTCCTTCTCCTCCTCCCCGACCCAAGGGCTGATCCTTATCCTTATCTCCTCCTCCCCCTCGTCCTCCTCCTCCTCCCTCCTCCTCATCCTCCTCCTCCTCTCCTCCCCTCCTCCTCCTCCTCCTCCTCTCCTCCTCCTACTCCTCCTCCTACTCCCCCTCCCCTCCCCCCCCTCCTGATCCTCCTCCTCCCCTCCTCCTCCTCCTCCTTTTCCTCCTCCTCACTCCTCCTTTTTCTGTCCTCCTCCTTCTCCTCCTCCTCCTCTCCTCTCCTCCTCCTCCCCCTCCTCCTCCTCTCCTCCCCTCCTCCTCCTCCTCCTCCTCGTCCTCGTCCTCCTCCTCCTCCTCCTCCTCTGCAACTCACAGCCCAGAGCCTGCCTTTCTAGAGCCTGCTTACCACAGATGGCCACTAGAGGCCGATCGTGACATACGTATAGGATCAGACTCCACAGGGGCCTCTTTTATGTATCCTTGCGTATCCCGGCGAATCGGGCCCCCTTTAGCCTCCAGGTTGCAGCCAGCCTTGCTTAGTAGGCCCCCCGATCTACTCCGAGATCCTCCGAGATCCCCATTATATTATCCCAGAACAGGTTCATCCGAGACCGTTCTGGCTCAAGCCTTTGCAGCGTCACAGCGACGCTGGACTGACTGGTGTGCGTTTGGGAGACGCAGAGCAGAGAACTGCCCGCCAATATACAGATCCTGTTCATCACCATCGTGCGACCAGAGTCGCACAGACACTGCCCCAGATTCCCCAATAGCAAGGACCTCACACACATCATCGAGAAAGACGAGAGAGTAGTATTCTGGATTGATATCTTGTGAGAAGGGAGATAAGGATTCTGGATTATATCAGGGCGCTGGTCTATCAGCGGGACCATTGCATGGTAGCGGAGCATGCGCTCCACGGACTACAGATTCACGGATATAGACGTTCCAGCCATGGCAAAGAATAGTGGAGACGATATCGTACCAAAGTGGAACGGAGATCTCACCACGGTGGATGACTATGAGAGAGATGTCAAGGCCTACATCCGAGGGGCCCGTCGAGATGAGAGATACGTATGCGGCCCACGTTTATGGAGACGACTGGAAGGGCGAGCGAGGCAAGCATCCAAAGATGTCGACTGGGACCGCATCGAGAACGACGACGGAGCTACCGAGTTGCTTAGACATGTGAGAGCGAAGCTCGGAGCTCAACCCATCCAGGACGCAGGAAAGTATTTAGCCTGATGGATCTTCGATCTACGGCGGGACACTGGAGAACCGATGCCGAGCTACATGAGCAGAGACGGTGAGGCCGACCATGACGTGGCCAAGGGGTTCGACACCGAGTATTTCAAGAAGCAGCGCACAGCCCGACTCTCGGAGAGAGCCAAGCAGTGGAATAACCTCTATGGAGAGCTCAACTGGTTCCTGTATAAGATCGAGCAGGAGGGCCCGGAGGACGCTGCGGAGAAGGCCAAGGAGCTGAACCACTCGCTCTGGGACTTCGTCAAGACGGGTCTTGAGGAGATCCCAGCGCATCCCGACTTCGGGACGGATTTCAACCAGGCGATCCCCCTAGACCAGCTGCGCGGATGGCTACTGCTACAGCGATCGAGACTGACACCGACGGAGCGGGCAGCGGTCATCCGCGCAGTCAAGGGTAAGTTCGACTACGATAGCATCGGAGAGCAGTTACGAGCTTCCTGGCCAGATGATGAGCTGACCAATCGGGACAAGAAGCAGGGCAAGGGTTTTCGTCACCGAGATCGTGGACGGATCCACGCCGGCTGGGAGGCGAACAGCGAGGAGGACGACGACTACAGCTACTACGAAGAGCATAAGTCCGAGGCGATCTACGACGGCCAGGGCGGCGAGGAGGATGAGGAAGACCCCGAGGAGCCGCTCTACAGCGCCCAGGAGATCGAGGAAGCCGAGACCGCTTTCGCCGCCCAGCAGAGAAGCTTCGAGGAGGCCCGAGATTTATTGAGACGAGTGAAGACCGCCAGGGAATTTTACCCCGCGGCTGAGAACAAGAAGCGAGAATACCGAAGTGGACATCGCAAACCGCCAGGGCCCCGGGCTGGATCTAGAGGCTCAGGGCCATCCAAGGGACGAGGCCGCGGGAGCGGACAGCGACGTGACGGGCCACCCCGACGAGAAGGAGATTGCTCCCAAGGCTGGCCTCCCAGGAAAGGGCCATGTCTGAAGTGCGGCGGTAACCGCGAGACCATGGATCATCGAGATCGAGAACGCGCATCTTCTACTGGCAGCCAGGGCGACCGAGACCGACGCACAAAGGGGTTCGGAGTTTTTGTCTTCTTCGGCACCGAGCAGGATGCCGAGATAGAAGCTAACCTCATCACGAACGAGATGTCCAGGCTGCGGTTGGAAGCGCCCCTTGCCAACAAGCCAGCAATCAAGAATCGGCCGAAGACCGCCAACCAGAAGAAGCAGCTGGACAAGAATTCCTTCATGCCGATCGAGAGGGCCATCGAGTTGCGAGAACGAGTTCAGCACGAGAAGCTACCGATCAGGTCTACCGTGGAAAAGGCCGAGGACTGGATTCTCATGAGTGTCAAGCAGAGCTCCTCCAAGGGTTTCGGCATTCTCGACATCGGCGCGACCTCCAGCACCATGGCCATAGAGGCCGCCGAGAACCTACGCGACATTATCTACGAGCAGACGGGCAAGAACATCAAGATGGACGTTAGTCAGAAGAGTACGTTTATATTTGGCGACGGCAATGCCAGGGCCTCCACCGGCAAGGCGACCTTTCCCCTCATGATCTCCGGTGTGGACGGCGAACGAGAGATCAACATCCTCGACGCAGACGCCCCGCTCCTGATCGGAGTGGACGTGCTGAGCCGCCTCGGGGCTGCGATTGACTGCGAGGCACGCGCTGTTCACTTCAAGAAGCTCGGGCGCCGAGCTGAGCTGCTCGTCCTTCCGAGCGGCCACCTTGCATTGCCACTTGTACGTCAAGCCGATCTTGGCTTCGTGGCATCCCTCGAGTAGGGGCGCGCGCCCTCGACGCCCGAGACCGCTACGGTGCCGGAGGGGAAACCTGAAAATGAGCCGTCAATCCAAAGCGAAATGTTCAGACCGTCTGCAGTTGTACCCCACGAGGTCCCCGGCGAGGTCCCAGATAATGGAGCCCCACAGGCCTCGGGCACATCACCATTACCTACGACCACGGGTACATCATCATGACCTACGACCACGGAGACATCATCATTACCTGGGACTACGGGGGCATCATCATTACCTACGACTACGGGGACATCATCCTTACAAACGTCATGGACATCATCAGAACCGCCCCCTACAGCACCAACTATGACATTATAAGGAACACCTGCAGAGGCTCTCCCAGCGATCCCCCAGTGCCCAGAGCTTCAGACCCCAACGCCCCCACCTTCCAGAGCCATTTATGGCGCAATATATCCGAGCCCAGAGCTCAGATTCCAGCAACCAGCATTTCTTCCACATTCGCATGAGCCTCAACCGCGAGGCGAAATGCCGCAAGGCCGACAGCCAGCAGGTGAAGCTGGAGAACGAGGAGATGGTCGGATCATGGGAAGCGGTGCCGCCACTGGATTCAGGCGCTCCGACTCGCCCTCCGACGTCAACGAGACCTACGCAGCCGCCGCCATCGACTCGTCTGATCCAGCATCAGGACACGAGGGGCAATGTATTCTACACGATCGAGGGCTCGGAGATGGACAAGAGCCAGAAGCGCCTGTCGGACACCTTCCTACTGGAGCACCTGCCGACCTGGGAGATGTGGTCCAGCAAGCTCCTGAAGCAGTGGACGATGTGCCGCCGCTGGGGGTGGGTCATCATCAAGGTCTTCCTCAAGACGATTGACCGGGTGACCTGGAAGCTGGACAGCATCGGCCTCCCTGTGCAGCTGCTGCCCGAGAAGTACCCGACCTGGCGAGCGGAGCCCGGGCATCGTTCGAAGATCGAGTCACAGCGCCCCAGGACGGAGACGAAGCAGAGGTCAGCCGCATCCGCGGCCGCTCGAGAGCAGAACCAGGAGCTTCAGGCCAACATCGAGACCGCAAAGTCCGTTTTCTCGACCAAGTATGCGACCGTGGACGCGTTTGCAGCGCTCAGCTCGGGACAGATCTACGAGAAGCTCAACATGGCGACGGCGGTCAATCACCTGAAGCCCCTGTGCAAGACCTGGGGACTGACGCAGTCCGGCAAGAAGGAGGAGGCGATCGACAGGCTCATCGCGTACATCATCGAGCAGCGCGGAACGGCGGCAGCGACGATCAGGGTCAGGAAGGAGCTGGAGACCAAGAAGGTGGAGACGGGGCCTATCGTTGTGGGCCCAGCGATCCCAGCGCACTACACGCAGATGTGCCAGCGCCCAGATTGCCGGCAGCAGCGGGGCATCGCGAAGAACGAGCCGATCGTGGAGGTGAGGCCCTTCGGGTGGTGCCACCAGGCGTGCGGGAGCAGGACGAGGACCTGAGTGACATTCAGGTCGAGAAGCTACGCTGGGGAGGCGACGAGAGCCGCCCACTGAGAGGCCATCAGCGCCAGGCCATTCGCGCAGCTACCCACTCGACGAGGTCGGCCATCTTCGGGGCGATGCGCGCTCTCACGACCTTCGGCAGATTGACGATGGTCGAGGCGTCGAGAAGGGCTACCACTACGAGAGACTCGGCCTGTTCAATGACTGCGACCTCAGCAAGCCGCAGGGGTACCACAAGGCGAAGTTTCTGCTGGGCGAGAGGCGCCCAGAGCTCCTCGTCAGCACACCTCCCTGCGGGCCGTGGTCGATTATGCAGAATATCAACCAGCGCGACGACAAGCAGAAGGATAGTCTGCGCAAGAAGCGACTCAAGAGCCAGTGGATCTTCGAGAACAACAAGAGGCTCATCGAGCATCAGGCACTTCACCTGAATGGCTCGGCCCTCGCCGAGCAGCCACGCAACAGTCGTTCGTGGCAGAAGACCTGTTGGAAGGACCTGCACAATACTCTCCCTTACGAGGTGATCGTAGACGGCTGCGCCTGCGGACTCAAAGCCCCGGACACAGGCGAGCTATGAAGAAGCTCTGGAGGTTCCTGACGAACGACAAGAGGATCTGGGTGGCCCTCCAGCCGCTACAATGCCGTGGAGGACACTATCATGAGGAGACCGAGAGCAGTCTGAGGACCGAGGCCTCGGGCTCCTATCCCAAGATGCCGCTGGATCCTCCGAGCTCTGACCAAGAGCCAGAATCATAATTACTTCGAAGAAGAGGTCGTGAATTTCTGCATGGCCGCTACCCAGCAGCCACCTACTGAGCCGACTCCAGAGGAGGACGAGACATCGATTCCAACACTAGATGGCAAGGAGTCGCACGACCTCACCAGCGACACAGTCAAGAAGCTCGAGAGCTACATCAGGCTGGTTCACACCAACCTGGGACATTTACCTCGAGCACATCTTCTACGTTACCTACGAGACCGAGGTGCGAGACCTGAGGTGCTACGATTGGCCAGAAACTTCAAGTGCGATACCTGTGATGCTCACCGACCACCGACGAAGCGGCCACCAGCTTCCTCAGCAGAGAAGCCTCAGAATGGTCACGAAGTTTTGTTCGACGCCTTCTCTTCGATCCGTCGCAGCACGAACACCAACGTGACGGCGCTAGCGATCCTCGACGCTGGCTCGGACATACTCTACGTGCGGCTTATCGACGAGAAAGCGATCCCAGGGACCAGCCGACAAGCTCGGGCGGGCGACCTTCGACACATTTTTGCTACGAAATGGTTCCCTTGGATGGGGCGGCCGAAGGTCATGCGCTATGATCCAGCCGGGAGCGCCATCTCCGACGAGTTCCGCGAGTGGATCGAGAGCCAGGGAGTCTACTGCCTCCCATGCGCTGCCGACGCCCACTGGCAGATCGGCAAGATCGAACGAGCCATTGAAGCGTTCAAGGAGGCCCTTGACGCCTTCGACGAGATGATTTCAGCTGGAGTTCCCACGAGCGAGATGTTCGGACTAAAGACAGCAGCCAGGAACGACCTGATCAGGATCGACGGTTTCAGTCCGCTGCAGCGCTATGCAGGACGGACACCCACTGGCACCACGGTCAACCTCTTCGACGAGTTGACCAACCTGCCGCTCATCAGTGCCGAGCTGCAGGATGGCACCTTCCGCAGGGACGCTCAAGTACGACGGATGGCACGGCTAGCTCACATCCAGACGGAGTGCTCCGATCGAGTCAAGCGTGCGGAGGCCGCAAGATTCAGATCGTTCAAGAAGTACGAGACGGGCGACCTGGCATTTGTCTTCCGGCGACTCCCACCAGGAGCCTGGCGCAAGAAAGGACAACCCCGATCCATGCCAGGACGAAGCCGCTGGTACGGATCTGGACGAGCACTCTGCCATGAGCCTGCCAGCTCAGGTCATCGACCTGGTCTGCCCGGGGCGGTGGTCAACATCGCGCTAGCTGGACGACTCTACCGAGTTGCTCCCGAACAACTTCGGCCCGCCACACCTTCCGAGGAGGCGATGGCGTCGCTACGCTCGCGCCGCGAGCTGCCTGGAACATGGACCTTCGGCGACGCCCAGAAGCAGCTCGACGCGAACGATGTGATCGACCTGTCGAACGAGTCCCCACCCACTGGTGAGGACCTGGCCGCTGACGACGGAGAGTCGGTCAGCGCCCGCACCTTCGAGAATAACGCAAGCGGGCCCTGGGCCATTCCTGAAGACGAGGACCTACCGGTTCCACGAGGAGATCCTCGGAGCTTGGACCCAGGCGGTGGCGGAGGCGGTGGGGCCCCATCAGCCCCACCAGGCCTCGAGTAACGGCCGCTCCCAGGCCCGCGACCGCCAAGACGACTACGGAGGAAGTGCAATCCCATGGATAAGGCAACCGAGGCCCAGGAACCTCTCATCCAGCCAGCACCACCAGAAGCTCCACCAGGTACTCCACAGACTGAAGACCACGAAGCTGGGCAGCCAGCCGAAGCCGAACCGACTACAGAAGATGAAATCATCATGGGGGCTCTTCCAGATGACGATCAAGAAACCCCCTCGACTCAGCAACCTCTGGCCGTGGACACGGACGATGAGTTGGACGAGACGACGGCGCCGAACAACAATGACAAGCATCGGCTACGATCGCCAGGATCTACGGAGCCCCCGATCAAGAAGCAGCGGATCAACTTGGCGACCCAGGAGGACTATTCCTACTACCTGCAGGAGGGTAAATTCTACGGGGACTACGCCTACAGCGTCCAGCCGTATGACGAGGTCAAGGAGGACGACGAGCTCATCGTGCTGGACATCCCTGTCAACAACGAGCACACGCTCATGGTTTACATGGACGACCCCAGCAACTTCGTGGCATCGCAGGCCCGGAAGGGCCGAGTCGAAGTCTCATTCAAGAAGGCGACCCCAGAGGAGAAGAAGGTGCTACTCGAGGCACAGCAGAAGGAGTGCACCTCCGTCCTCAGCACGAAGGCCGTCAGGATCCTCAGTCGACAGGGGATCGACCCAGCGCGTCTGTTGCGCTGCCGTTTCGTGCTGATCTGGAAGAAGGATGACAAGGGCAACGTTCTCAGGGGCAAGGCCAGATTGGTCGTGCTCGGCTTCAGCGACCCCGACCTGCTTCATCTACGGACGGAGTCTCCAGTTGCATCGCGACGGGCACGTCAACTTCTACTGGCCATGGCAGCGAGACACAAGTGGAAGCTGAAGAAGGCCGATGCCGTGACTGCCTTTCTCCAGGGAGAAACGGACGAGGAGAAGCGGAAGATCTACGCGGACCCCCCGAAGGACGTACGTCAGGCCTTCGGCATGAAAGACGACGAGGTCCTGCAGTTTCTCAAGCCGATGTACGGGTTCGTACATGCTCCTCGCAAGTGGTGGTTACACTTCAAAGGAACGCTCAAGATGCTGCAGCTGGAAGTGATACAGTGCGAGCCATGCGTCTGGGCCATCCGAGACAGCAGTACGCTGGTCGGCATGATCATCCTACACGTTGACGACATGATGATGGCCGGCGATCATACTCACTCGGGCTTTCTCAAGAAGCGACAAGAGATCCAACAAGCATTCGAGTGGACCCCCTGGGAAAGCCGAGCATTCGTGCAGCGCGGTATCAGCATCCGTCAGAACGAGGATTTCACTTGCAGTCTCGCACAGGACAGCTAGAGCCTGAACGTGGAGCCCATCAAGATACGACGTGGACGGAAACCTACATACGGAGTCTCGGACAAAGATCAGACTGACGAGGACGACTTGGTACAGTCGGCTGGCGAGCTCAACAGTCCGCCCCGTGGCTACGTGCTGAAGTCTCTCTACTTCAAGCGGAGATACCTACGGCTACGGTGACGACCATCCAGAAGATCAACCATCTCATCCGCACCATGAACGATACTGCCGACGTGGTCATGTTCATCCCCGTCATAGAGCATATCGCTGTGGTTGGCTGGGGCGACGCAGCCTGGGCTGCCCGTATCACCGGCGCGTCCCAGGGTGGCGAGATGATCGTGTTGGCCCCGCTGTCTTTCCTGAGCGGCTCGACTGAGACGGTGGCTCCTATCTCATGGAGTTCGTGCAAACTACCGCGAGTCGCCAGAAGCAGTACGAGTGCGGAGGTTCAGATGATCACGGAGACCCTCGACGAGATCAGCTACGTGCGTCTGTTCATCTATGAGAAAGAGTGCGGCCAAGGGGACTACACGAACAAGCAGCACGTGAACGACGCCATCTCATCCTGCCCTTGCGTGCTAGTCACAGACGGCAAGTCGGGCTACGACGCTATCGAGAAGAGTGAGTCGGCTGGTCTTGGACTACGCGACAAACGTACGAGCATCGAGTGCCTAGGCATTCGACAGCAGAAGGAGCAGACAGCCCTCCAGATACGTTTGGTTCACAGCGACGCCATGCTCGCCGACGGTCTCACTAAGGATCGTGCCGCCAAGGTCTTGCTCGAGTTCTTCAGGACAGGCCAGCGCTGGAGGCTCGTGGACGACCCTCTACACCGCAGTGCCAGAAAACGCAAGACCGAGGGCATGGACAAGCTCGACCACGGCAAGCCGCTGTCTCCCGACGATGAAGATGCTATGCTGGAGGCCCTCATCTACTACGCCCGCGACAACCCCGACGAGCAGGACGGCCCTGCTGGAGATGCAGCCCTGTGGGGCACAGTGAGGAAGCTCACGCGCTCTGTGCTTTCTGTGAATTCAGCCGCCAGCGGCAGGCCTCGATGCCGTAACATCGATCTCTAGCTTTTTGGGCATGCAACTCACAGCCCAGAGCCGGCCTATCTAGAGCCGGCTTACCACAGATGGCCCCTAGAGGCCGAGCGTGACATATGTATAGGATCAGACTCCACAGGAGCCTCTTTTATGTATCCCTGCGTATCCCGGCGAATCGGGCCCCCTTTAGCCTCCAGGTTGCAGCCAGCCTTGCTTAGTAGGCCCTCCGAGATACTCCGAGATCCTCCGAGATCCCCATTATAATATCCCAGAACAGGTTCATCCGAAACAGTTCTGGCTCAAGCCTTTGCAGCGTCACAGCGACGCTGGACTGACTGGTGTGCGTCTGGGAGACGCAGAGCAGAGAACTGCCCGCCAATATACATATCCTGTTCATCACCATCGTGCGACCAGAGTCGCACAGACACTGCCCCAGATCCCCCAATAGCAAGGACCTCACACACACATCATCGAGAAAGACGAGAGAGTAGTATTCTGGATTGATATCGTTGTGAGAAGGGAGATCAGTATTCTGGATTATATCAGGGCAGTGGTCTATCAGCGGGACCATTGCATCCTCCTCCCCCTCCCACTCCTCCTCCTCCTCTCCTCCTCCTCCTCCTCCTCCTCCTCCCTCCTCCTCCTCCTCCTCCTCCTCCCTCCTCCTCCTCCTCCTCCTCCTCCTCCTCCTCCTCTTCCTCCCCCTCCCTGCTCGCGCGCGAAGCACAATCGGAGGAGCAAGGGGGCATCGAAGAAATAACTGCATACTCCGAGCTTCTTAATGAGCGCCAGGGGGCGTCACCCCCGCCGACGACCCCGCATCGACCCCCGTCGCGGGCAGCCACCGCGCGCCGAAGGCGTTTCGCCCCCCGTCGCGGCGCGACGACGAGGCCAGGCTGACCGCCGTTGGGGCCGTCGGGGGGGTAGGCCCCCACGCTTATTCAGAAGCCCAGACGAAATATAAACTTGTGAAGCTCTGCGCGGGCCTCTCGGATCGGCGCGGGACCCTCCCTGCCGGCGCTTCCGGCGCCGCCCCCAGCGCGCTCCGCGCGCCAGGGGAGGGGGGTCCAGCGCCGATCTCAGACCCCTGCGCGGAGCTGTAGAAGATTACGTACGTTTATGCATGTTCTCTTCTTCACGGGCATGACATCGATACGTTCCAGGATTCCCAGATTCAAAGGACTGTCCAGGGTCCCAGGAATCCCACAAGGTCCGCAGAAACGAGGGCCGCTGGATACGCCAAAGCTCATGGAACGCATCCTGAGCCAATCGCATCCTGACATCACTCCCGCGCCGGCTGCCCCTGGCGGCGTTGCGGGTGCGCTCCTCTGCTGCAGGGCAGTCGGGGCGAACGGCTCCGCTTGCCCCGGTGGCAGTGCACACGCGCTTCTGTCTGTGATTGCGCCCAGGGCTCCCGCGCAAGGGGGGCGGGGGTTGCGCCCAACGTTCTGCCAGGCTGGCCCAGGTTCTGGCCGAGTGGCGCGGTATGCGCGCGAGCGCCAAGCTCGGCGTGGCTCCCCCGCTCTCCCCCGCTCTCCCTCCTCCTCCTCCTCCTCCTCCTCCTCCTCCTCCTCCTCCTCCTCCTCCTCCTCCTCCTCCTCCTCCTCATCCTTCCCCTCCCTGTCCTATTCCCGTCCTCCTTAGTTACCCTTCCCCTCATCTTCCCATCATCCTCACATTTGCCCCGCGGACGGAGCCCCAGAAAGCTCATGCTAAATGAGAAAGCTCAGCATGAAGACGAGGGGTCCGAGAGGAAAGGGTCCTGAGAGTTTGTCCCAGATGGTGAGAGTTTGTCCCAGATGGTGAACGCTTTCTTATTCATTATTTTGCCGATCGGCGCCGGCTCTCGAGCCCCCCCCTCCCCCCCGTGGAGTAGATCTTGGCTTTTCTTGGCGCCTGTTTCGAGCAGGCGGGGTCTCCCCCATAGGACGCACAGTTGCAAGCAGTGGCAGTCAGCAGAGGTCCAGAGAGCAGATCCCCCCCCCTTCCGCCCAATGTCGAAACGCCGTAGGGGAAAACGATGACGATTAAGAGTTGATCCCAGAGAAAGCCCCAGGTTCCAGGACCCACTTCCACCAGGACATCTTTTTCTCATGTCAGCGGGGTACATGCACGACGACATGGATACGATGTCTTCGATGCGATCGGCCTTGGCGGATTCATGTCCGTACCCTGGCACGAGGCGGTTGCGAGGGTATGCGTATGCATATGACGCTCTCCCAAGGTCTGACAGGCCCTGGCCCAAATTCTGGAGGGTCGCGAGCAACACGAGTCTAGCACGGTGGTTGAAGTGGAGCGCCCACGTTCAGGATCGACCGATTGCTGCCCGGCCGACCTCTTTCGGCCAGCGCCACGTCAGGCTCTGCGATCCGCCCGCGCCGAGCACTCGACTTGTTTGAGCGATTGTGGACGCTCGGTTCGCCAAGATCATGCTGGGATTCATACATCTCCACCGCTTGGAGAACCGCTCGTGGGCATGGATGCGTTCGGGCCCTCTGCGGCCCGATTTGTGTTCACCGCATCTTAGGGTCCTGGGAGACGGATTCTTCGGGCAGTGGACATGTGCAAATCCATTCATCGCAACCTCGGGCGCTCGATTTTCGACGACCGCTGACGTGCGCTGGGCTCGACGGGTTCTTGACGAACCACCGGCCTGCTTGGCCTGGCCCCTGGGCAGGCGGCTCGCTGGCACCGACGCCCACGCCGTGTGCGCGGACGAGAGCGCAGATGGAGTGAGGTAACCTTTTTTGCCATGGATGCAGGGCCCGGCCTGTGCGGCCAGGCAGCAGCAGGGTGAGGCGGGAGGGTTCGGATCTTGGTGTGAGGCACCGTGCCCGGAAGGTCGCGCCCGCTGGGAGGAGGAGGAGGAGGAGGAGGAGGAGGAGAAGGAGGAGGAGGCTGGATCCAAAGAAGAGGCGGCACCTGCCTGGCCACACGGGCCCCGGGAGCATGCAGCCCCCCGTGCGTGCAACTCCCGCCCCCAAGGCAGCCCCGTAAGTCCGGCGCTTTGGGGGCGCGGTCCGCTTTGGCTGTGAAGTGGCGTCGATATAGCTTTCTGTGGCACTCACCCGATTGATTTGGGCTTCTCGAGGCCTTGTCTGGGATCATTTTTGGGCCCCCTCGCAGCGTTTTGGAGGCCTCCGAAGCCGTCTGCGGGCCGTCTTTGGCCGTCTCGGAGCGCTCTTGGGCCTTACTGTGGCCACTTGGACCGTCCTGGGACCCTCTTGCCAGTTTCTGGGCCCGTTTGGGGACTTCCTGGCCTCTGGAAAAGTCATGCGGGGCGCCCTGGGCGTCACGCGGCGATCTTTTAGAAAACTCGGTCATTGTGTCTTCGGACCTCGTAGAATACGCGATGCCGAGAGCTCGGAGGGACCTGAGGGCACTCCACTCAGTACCTACGGCGCCGTGGCGTAATTCTTCCGGAACACACGCAGGGTGCCCTGGACCATTTTGCCATCCTGGCATCTCTGAATGTCATCGCTTCGTTATCACCAGCTGATTGTGTATTGCGGAGCACAGTATTCATCCGACTGAGCTTCGGTCCTTGCCGTCGGTGTTTGCTACGCGTTGTTGCCGTCAGCATGTCGGTGCCTCACTTCGGCACGAGGGCTCTTGAGCCGCCTCCCGACAGGTAGTAGAACATACCAACTCGCCAGGAGAGTCCCCAGACCCTGGCGGTGCTGGCCTCTGAGCATGGAGGAAGCGGTCTAGCTTCTAATAGCTCGGAAGTGACCCATCGCCAAAGGCATGCTTATACGTCACTTCAGTGAGGGCGGCATCTGGTTCTTTGTACGAGCTCCTGGCCGCGTTTCTGGGGCTGTGTTGGCCCCCGAAATCCCCTGGACTAGGTGAAGGCTGTGCTTCTGACAGAGGTGATACATACCATTCAGAGGTGGGCTTGTTCGGGCGAGGGCAACGTCTTCCCAATGTGTTGCCCCCAGTGTTATCGATATTGCATCAGTCGTTCTTCGTTCGGGTTATTGTGGAGTCGGTTGTATCACAATCGCAGCGTTCTCTGGCCCAGTTCACGAAACCCACCCCGAGATTTCAGCCGGCCGCAGGGATGAGCGCCACAACGAGAGATTGCTTGGATGCTGCCAGCGCCCCTGCCCATGTCCGCTTAAGCTGTAGGAGTTGACTCTGGCATAGGCACCGCGCGTGCCGTGCAACTGTTGATCGTTTTTCCAGGCCCGTGGAGTCCTTTGTTTGGGGCCGTGGCGGACGATCCGATGCTCATAACGCTGCGTGCCGAATGTCAGTGCTCGGGAGAAGTGCTCATCATGTCATGTTCCTTGCGCTCTTGTCGTGCCCGCGGCCTTCCTTCGGGTCGTAGTGAGGACAGAGACAGAAGCCCACCGACCCAAGAACCCTTGGCGGAAACCCTTGGAAGCAGACGCTTTCGCGAGGCACATCGGCTTCACCCAAGCATTCTTCTGCTGCGTGTGCGTCACCCCCAAACGGGCGCGCCGCTCGCGCTCGGAAATCTTAAGGAGTATCTGTTCGGGGGCGGGCGCTTTCTGGCCGCACCTGGCGATGTGCACGAGATGGCTGTACTATCTGATCTGGTCGGACGCTCGCCTCCAAGGAGGACACGTAGGACTCGCATGCCCTTCCGCGTCCCAGACGCAGGCGACCTGCCGTGCTGGGACTCTGGGCTGCGAGCCCGCGCTTGCCAGCAGCTCCCTCGGGGATGGTCCTGGCTGCGGCCGGCGCCGGGCACCGGAGGGCAGAGGTCTGGCCAGTGGCGTGCTCACTTCCCCACGTGGGTGACAGCAGCTGCTGGTTGGCCCTCAGCCAGCGGCTTCCTCCAGATGTTCTCCAGCAGCCTGGAGTGGAACGGGCGGCCCCTGCCCAGCGACTGCAGCTTCGCTCACAGCCGCCGGCAGCGGTTCCGCAGCTGCACTGCCCGCTGCCACCCTCGCCCTGGTCCCCCTGTTCAAACGGGTACTCGACCCTTCCTTCCGAGCCCCCAATTTTTGGTTGTTTCGTCTTCCAGGCGTTGTTGTCTGGGGAGTGAGGTGGTTGGGCCTAGTCTCGCGTGGCCATGGGAGGACTGCTTCGTCTCCGAGCTCGGATCACGGCTACCATTGCTGGCGCACCCCACATTTCCCAGCCCATCCCCCCGCTCCTTCGATTGTCGCCTGTCCACTCCGTCTTCGGCCTCTTCTCATGTAATGGAAACCGATGCAGAGAAATACCTTGCTTGCCGCCAGGGTGCCCTGGGCGTCTTGGGCTTCGATGGTTTCGCTATGGAAAGCGTGCCATTCCCACACCAAAAATCAATGAACGCCCTGGGGTCTCGGGGTTGGGTTTCTTGTGGAAGGTTTCTTGTGGTCGAGCTCCTGCTGTATCCTCTTCACCCGTGTCCTTCTCCTTAGTTCCCGGTCTTGTCCCGCAGTGCCGCTCGATGCGCGAGGGGCGGCTCCGTGGTCGGCGCTCCGCCGAGCAACGCAGAACCCGCTGGTCGCCCCCCGCCCGTGCCCTGCCGTCTTCAGGTACGGCTGCAGCGCCAGGAGTCCAGCTCTCTTTTTTTTGTGCGCGGCGTGCTCTGACAGCTCCCCCGTGCACCGAGGGCCCCCCCCGCCATTCTTCTCCACGTTGCATCTTCGGGGCACCTCGCCTGTCCCCAAGATTGGTGTCTTTTCTTGTGCCTGACGCGGGCTGGATGCGGACTCGCCGCGGATTCGGCGTGGATCCGACGCGGGCTCGACACGGATTCGGAACGGATCCGACGAGGCCGACATGGATCGGCACGGACTCGACGCGGATAGGGCCGCGATGGGGCAGACAAGGCCCCCCCAAAGATGCAACATCACGGAGGGCCCCCCCGCCATGCCATCCTCGGAGCTCTGGGGTGGGGGCGGGGAGGAGCAGGTAGGGGGCCACGTGCGAACCCTGCCCCCTGCCCCCCACGATTTTTCGGAGGGGGAGGGTGGGGTTCACTTCGCCCGGGAGCTCCCGGACGGAGTGACCCCCCCTCCCTCCCGAAAGGGAGAAAATTCACCCTATTTGACTTGGGGTCGTTCTTGCTTGTTTGCGTTTCTTTCTCTGTCTCCGTCTCTTTTTCTGTTTTCCGTTTCTCTTTCTCTCTCTCTCTCTCTCTCGCTCTCTTTCCTTTTTTTTTTTCTCTCTCTCTCTCTCTTTTTCTCTTTTTCTTTTTTGAATCTCCACAAATTGGATCCTTTGGCGGATTACAAGTCGGTTAAATTTGTAATCCTCCCAAAAGGAATTCCATTTGAATCCCAAGGCCAGAGGCCCAGGAGGACACCAGGGAAGAAAGCAAAACAAACAGAACAACTAGGGAAATAGCAAACAACAACAAAAAAAACAACATTCTCTGCGATTTTCAAATCCACGACCAGAATATAATTAACATCAAGTACATGCTGGTGGTAGATTTGAAAAACGCAGAGAGTCTCAGCTTTTTTTTTATTTGTTTTTGTTTTGTTTTTTCCATGGTTTTTCAGTTTTTTTTTTTTTTCCCCTGGTATCCTCCTGGGCCTACCCAGAGCCAGAGGCCCAGGAGGATACCAGGGAAAAAAACAAAAAAAGCAAAAGAACCATGGAAAAAGCAAAACAAGCAAAAAAAGCTGGGACTCTCTGCGGTTTTCAAATCCACGACCAGAATGTAATTGATTTTAATTATATTCTTGTCGTGGACTTGACAATCGCAGAGAGTCTCAGCTTGTTTTACTTGTTTTGCTTTTTCCGTGCTTTTTCTGTTTTTTTTGTTTTTTCCCCTGATATCCTCCTGGGCCTACCCAGGGCCAGAGGCCCAGGAGGATACCAGGGGAGAAAAAAAAACAAAAAAGCAGAAAAACCATGGAAAAAGCAAAACAAGCAAAAAAAGCTGGGACTCTCTGCGGTTTTCAAATCCACGACCAGAATGCAATTGATTTTAATTGTATTCTTGTCGTGGATTTGAAAATCGCAGAGAGTCCCAGCTTGTTTTGCATTTGTTGTTTTTTCCCTGGTTGTTCTGCTTTGTTTTTGCTTTTTCCCCTGGTATCCTCCTGGGCCTACCCAGGGCCAGAGGCCCAGGAGGATACCAGGGGAAAAAACAACAGGAACACCATTGAAAAAACAAAAAAAGCAAACAAAACTGACACTCTCTGCGTTATTCAAATCTACCACCAGAGTGTAATGGATGTGAATTCTATTCTGGTCGTGGATTTGAAAATCGCAGAGAGTCTCAGCTTTGTTTGCTTGTTTTGCCTTTTCCGTTGTTTTTTCTGTTTTTTTTCCTCTGGTATCCTCCTGGGCCTACCCAGGGCCAGAGGCCCAGGAGGATACCATGGAAAAAAAACAAAACCACATAAAAACCATGGAACAAACAAACAAAACAAAAAAAACTGAGACTCTCTGCTGTTTTCAAACCCACGACCAGAATACAATCAAAATCAATTGCATTCTGGTAGTAGATTTGAAAGAAACAGCAGGGAGTCTCAGTTTTTTTGTTGTTTTTTGCTGTTGTTCCTTGGTTGTTTTTGTTGTTTTTGTTTTTCCCAACCATCCTGTGGTGTTGGGTCCTCGCTTTGAAGAGACGGTGCCCCGCGTCTCCTTCCTCCTCCTCTCCTCCTCCGCCTCCTCTCCCCTCCTATCATCCTCATCGTCATCATCATCATCATCGTCATCATCATCATTATCATCTTCATTATCATCATCATCGTCATCAGCATCAACATCATGAACGCCATCATAACCATCATCGTCATCATCACCATCATCGTCGTCATCACCATCATCGTTGTCCTCGTCGCCATCATCGCACGTTTCGTTGCCCCATACGGAGCTCCACCGAAGGTCCCAGTGGGTGTGCCCGCATGCGTCCCGCACACCCATTTTGGCACACCCCTCACACGTTTCGTGGCCCCATAGGGAGCTCCACCTAAGGTCCAAGTGGCGCAGCTCGCATGGCGCCACCGCCCCATTTTGGCACACCCCTCACACGTTTCGTGGCCCCATAGGGAGCTCCATCTACGGTCCAAGTGGCGCAGCTCGCATGGCGCCACCGCCCCATTTTTTGCACACCCCTCACACATTTCGTGGCCCCTCAGGGAGCTCCTTTTGGCACACCCCTCACACGTTTCGTGGCCTCATAGGGAGCTCCACCTAAGGTCCACGTGGCGCAGCTCGCATGGCGCCACCGCCCCTTTTTGGCACACCCCTCACACGTTTCGTGGCCCCATAGGGAGCTCCATTTACGGTCCAAGTGGCGCAGCTCGCATGGCGCCACCGCCCCATTTTGGCACACCCCTCACACATTTCGTGGCCCCTCAGGGGGAGCTCCACCTGAGGTCCAAGTGGCGCAGCTCGCATGGCGCCACCGCCCCTTTTTGGCACACCCCTCACACGTTTCGTGGCCCCTCAGGGAGCTGCACCAAGGTCCCAGTGGTGCAGTTCGCATGCCACCCCTTCACACGTTTCGTGGCCCCACAGGGAGCTCCATCTCAGGTCCAGGTGTGATCCTGGACTGCGGCCGCCACGAGGTCGGGAACGGCAAGAAGGAGGACGACGACTGGTGGCTGGAGCTCTATGTGCTGCTCTCGCGCGCCACGCGCCACGAGGACCTCCTGCTCATGCGGGCGCCGCGCATCGAGTTCTTCCTGGCAGGACCGCCGGAGGGCCTGCGAAAGCAGCTGGAGCAGTTTGCAGCGCGCACGAAGCGGTGCAGGAGGGAGGCGACGGCCCTCGCCAGGGAGCTCGGCTTCACCGAGTTTATCCGCGAGGCCTGACCTGAGGAGCGCCCCCCCCGAGCCGCGCCTTCTCTCGACTGCCCGCATAATTGTTCGGCCTCGCGCCGCGGACGACCCGCGCGCGTCGCTGGGACCCTCTCGGGGCGACCAGCGCGCGTCGCGGGGATTCCGCGCGGCGCTCTGCTCAGCGCCTCGCTCGCCCGTCGTCGCTCTGCCCAGCGGCCGGAGCCTTGCCCGCCATCAGCCGGCCGGCTAGCTCTCTGTGCTCCGCGCAGCGGACGACCTGCGCGCGTCGCTGGGACCCCTCCGCGGCGACCTGCGCGCGTCGCGGGGACCCCGCGCTGCTCTGCGCCCGCAGCTTTGGATTTTTGGAGCGCGCAGGCAAAGAGGGGGGAAAAGAAGGGACGGAAGCGGGTGCGATCCCCGTGAGGGGCGTGCCGACATGGGCGTCGCGGCGCGCGGGCGCTGCCGTCGGGGTTCCCGCGGAAGCTGCCTGCGGCGGCCACGCCCAGTGTCACAAGTGTTCGGACAGGCATGCTCGAGCCATTCACATTCATATACATTTACACTAGGCGTAGCCAAGATCGCAGTCATGCAAATATACTCACTCCCACGCAGACCCATTCACACTCAGACTCTCTCGCGCTCTGGCTCACCCGCGTTCATTCTTTCGTAATCTGACCTATCGTATTCCTTTGCGTTGTGTACCCCGCCATATTTCGGCATGCCCCTCATGCGGTTCGTGGCCCCATAGGGAGCGCCACCGAAGAAGGTACTCACAATTGCGGCACTCACAACTGCATATGGTTGGGTCTTTCGCCAGGATAATTGTTTCCCTGGTCTCCTCCTGGGCCTACCCAGGGCCAGAGGCCCATGGAAAATACCAAGGGAAACCTTAAGACAAACAAAAAAACAAAAAAAACAAAACATAAGCAAAATAAGCTGAGACTCTTTGCGCTTTCCAAACCCACGACCATAATATAATTACAATACATTACCTTACGGTGGCAGATTTGAAAAAAAAAAAAAAAAAAAAAAAAAAAAAAAAAAAAAAAAAAAAAAAAAAAAAAAAAAAAAAAAAAAAAAAAAAAAAAAAAAAAAAAAAAAAAAAAACGCAGGGATTCTCAGTTTTTTTTTTGCTTGTTTGGCTTTTTGTGTTTTTTCCTTGATTGTTTTGCTTCGTTTCCCTGGTATCCTCCTGGGCCTACCCAGGGCCAGAGGCCTAGGGAAAATAACATGGGACCCCCCCCCTCAAAAATAAACAACCAGGGAACACGCAAAAAAAAAAACAGCAGAGATTCTCCGCGTTTTTCAAATCCACGACCAAAATATAATTAACATCAATTACATTCTGGTGGTAGATTTGGCAATCGCAGAGAGTCTCAGCTTGTTTTGCTTTGTTTGCATGTTTTCAATGTTTTTAATGTTTTTGTTTCCTTTGCTTTTTTTCTGCCTCAGGGCCCCCAGGAAGGCCAGAAGAGGCCAAAAACATTGATTTTCCATATGTTGCTGACGGGTGTTGACGTTTCCTTCTTTTCGGCCTTCCGACGGCCCGAGACGGCCCAAGAGCCCCCAAAGATCGCCGACAGATCGCCCAAGAGGCCTCCAAGACTGCTACGATATCCTTCAAGACGCCCACGTGTTCCCCGAAGGCTTTTCAAACCGAATCGGGGAACACATGGTCCGATGGCTTGGCAGGTCTGGCCTCAACGTTCGGCCACACAAGACGGCCATGATGACCTCCAAGACGGCCCCAGATGGCCTCCAAGTCCGCCCAAGATGGTCCAAGACGGCCTCCAAGAGGGCCTCAGAGAGTC